GTCTAGATTAATTATTAATAGTGTAATAGCGAGATTCATGTTTTGATCCCGCAGTCAAACTGAATAATTCAGTTTTGTGGGACTATGTTCTAGATTAAGGAAATGTTTTTGTAATTAATTAATAAATAAATAAATAATAATAATAAGAAATTTAAAATTAATTGAAAGTTTTCACGCCGACCTTGTCGCCTCCTTCGCCCGGGCGAAAACTCATCAGACGCCGCCGCGCCGGCGACTTTACGATCGGCACACATGTCTAGGTTTAACTAAGTAGAGGGAAGAAGGGGTGTATTTCAACAACGAATAGGATACTATAGTTCTTAAATTGTCAGATATGGCCAAATTAATGTGTTTCGCAAAACAGCTAATTGTGAGGCGTATCGTATAAACAAACTATTGTTTGTTTAAAAGTTATTGAGTACTATGAGTACCTACTTACAGAAATATGTACTCATAATATTTAAAGCAATATAATTTTGAGATGAAACTATTTTTTAATGAAATCTCGTACTTATATTTGTTTTTTAAAGCAAACTAACATGTCGGGCCATTTAGAGTTCCCCGTACAGCCCCCGATACGTTGGATTGTTTGTAAAAAAAACAAATACGCAAAAAATAGTTTCCTTTCCCATGTGCAACAAATGCGAAAACCTAAGAACTTGATAAATAATTCTTACTTTATTATATTCACTAAACGAAGAGAGACTTAAAAAACATCACATATCGTGGTGCTAACTAAAACCATATTAACTTACGACTACTTACTCTTGTTGGCAAATGTCACAAATATATGCGTGAACTTCATCATGGGCTATCATGTGGTATTTAAAAGCTTTTCTGTTTTTAAAACTTTTGCCACAAATATTACACAATCCCCCAGGTTTATTCAAATGTGTGGACCTATAATGGAATTCTACACCACTTATTGTTTTGTACCATTTTAGACAAGTCGGGCAAGACTTTTTGTGTCTATACTCTGGTGGACTGTGTTTAAATCTGCAACAAAGTCACAAATTCAGTACTTATTCGCCAAGCAGTAAAGTGATTACCGCGTATCGATTTCGAAGGGTATTAAGGGCGCTGGTGGAATTATAGACACACGGGGCTTTTCAACTTATGTCTCCGGGTGACGGGTGCAGAGGCAGTACTCCGAGATCTTTACAATCTAAAGGTCAGAGTGCCAAGCGGAACTGCAGCTGTTATGGACAACCGTGTCGCTTACCACCGGACGCACGACTTGTTCGTCCCGTAAAAAAAGAAAAGGAAATCCAATTACGATGACCTTAGACAATTTCGTCAAATTCAGAAGACAAATATTTCCGATTCCTATGAAGCAATCAACTGCTTCCGGATATCCTTAAATATTTATTTAATATGGTATAATCACAGATACAAAACCACGGTTAATCAAAATAATATAACCAGCATAACCGGTTGCGACTGCAATCTACTTACAATTGAACATACTTCTATATTGAAAAAAGAAAACCATAACAATACACATAAAATACGAAAAAGTCACGATCACGAGTCAAGAAAATTTTCTTCTTTTTAGTGTAGTGTACAATTGCCACTGGAATGTAGATTTACTGATATCTTTCGATTTTATTATTTATAACAGTGATATGTTTTCTGCATTAAAAATAAAATAATACAGCTCTTAAAATTGTTTAATCTTTGTAAAAATTAAAATTAGAACAGATTACATTGGAACGGCACATCTGTGTGATGGATTGTTATGATACGTTATTGTTTGATAGCGGTATTAGTGGATGTTCGATGCGACGCGACGCATTGATCGCGTTAGGAACTACAAAATGCAGCCCGCCAAGCCGACTCACACCTATATAAGTCCTATTAGAAACCGGAATACGAATTCCCGGTTCAACTAATTTAGTAAAGAAACATTTCTAAATTGGTTCTGACTTTAATATTCTAGGTCCTGAGCTCTCTGACTTAATTTTGTTAGGTACAGTTCCTGAAAAAACGTAAAATGTATATTAAGTGATTGATATGAATGTATGGCGCAATCTACTATACATTTTAAAATCTTGATCATCCATCAAGATTTTGAAGTGAAATAGTTTAAAATGCAAGATTTTAAAATATACAGTATTGTCTAAAACAGTTTTACTCAATTATATCTGCCTTAGCTCATTGGTACCTACTCACCTATGTGCCACCATGTGAGCAGAGTCGGAGCCAGCAAAGTCACATAAGCCACAGTTGAGAATATTTTTAGCACAATGCTCATTAAAATGCTCTGTTGCAACAGTCTCGTCTTCAGATTTGAAATCACAAATGCCTGTAATAAGCTATTATTGATTTTAGGTTCCCGTAGCAAACCCCAGCAGACGTTACAAATCTTTTGTATGAGTCTTTTTATTATATCAGTTCAGTTTTACGATTCTAAAATTAAATGTACTTGATTTTGGCGCCTTGTTTTTTGCCTGTTTTCCTTGCTTGTACAAGTCTCTCGTTGTTTTCTGTTCATAAATAAACTGTAAGTACATTTTCTTTGGTCTTTCTCATTCCTCGTTAGCAACCAAACCCCATTTTTACAGAACTTCTATTATTAGTATACAATAAGGCTGATAATTAGCTTATAATTTCGTAAAGACCACACAGATAGGCATTAAAGTGAAATGAGACCCAAAATAGACAACCACCCACCCATAAAACCACCCACTCACACACACAATCACACACCCACTCACTCACTCACTCACTCACTCACTCATTCGTTCACTTACTCACATACTCATTCACTCTCACTCTCCCACTTACCAACTTACCCACCCACTCAATTACGCACTCTCTCACCCAACCACTCATTCACCCACTCACTCTCCCATCCACATAATCACGCACTCCTCACCCTCTCACTCACAAACTCACTAACCCAACCAAACACCCACTCACTCTCACTCACCTACTCACTCACTCATCCACTCACCCACCCACACTCTCACTGTCCCACTCACTCACTCATCCACTCACCCACACACACTCTCACTGTCCCACTCACTTACCCATTCACAGACTCACTCAGTCACTCACCCACACACCTACCCATTCTCTCACCCACGGACGCACCCACTCACCCACCCACTCTCCACCCACTCACTCACCCACTAGAAATGAGTATCATATTCGTAATGAGCACCCCCAAATACCTCGAAAACCAATATGCCATTATTTGAAAAATCGTGCATGCCATCTTGGATTTAGAAATGAGTGTCATATTCGTAATGACACTTTTATTCGGTAGTTTCTGTTTTAATTGTTAGTTTCAATTGTTTCGTAGGACAATAAAAAAAATTAATTGCAATTGGTTTAATTGCAATTTAAAAAAATCCATTGCAATTGGTTTAATTGCAAATAAAAAAATCAATTGCAATTAAAATTAATTGCGACGTTGCAATTTTAATTGCAATTTATTGTAATTGCAATTACGTTAATTGCAATTAATGCAAGTAATTAAAATTGATTAAGAAATGGTGACTTAAAGGTTTTACTTTCACAAGCAATTAGTAGAAACAGGGGTTTAAATAGTAACTGAACCTGAAAGATAGAATCTGTCAGTTACTCAATTAACCGGCGGAATTTCTAAACGCAACCATTAGTCAAATGAGTGTCACATATGCTATGGAATTACACTTAATATTAAACTAGTATAAACAGAAAAAATTGGACAGCGGCGGTATTGTTTTTGTTTGGCAGCCATACTCGTAATTGCCAATAACGTTTGGTGCAACAACGTCATTGGCAACTATAGTTGCCTATATTGAAAATATAATGACAACACTGTAGAAAGAAAAAAGAAATCTGATAATTGCTGTGACATATAAAATCATAACTCGCTAGGTATATGTCAAAACCCTCCTTAGACTTATCATGTACCGTTTTCATATAAATTTTGCATTACTCACCACAGTAAACGAACGGTGATTTTGGTAATTGAGGCGTTGTTTCCACTACTGGTCCTTTTGTGAGTTTTAATTGTGTCAAACCATAACATTCCCTAACATGATTCAGTAAAGTTTTTGTATAACCTGTAATCAAAACATAGTACAATACAATCGTTCCATGTGCTGTGCATTCAAAGCTTCATTTTATCAAAATCTGCAACGTCTATTGCTTAACGTTTCGCTACTTTATTCAGATTACAAAAAGGCCAAATTTGAATGAGCAAAACAGGTATGGTAGGAATGCAGCAATCCACAATATTCTGTACACCTAAGTATTGCGAGACGGACAAAACGCTATTTATATAATTTTTTATGTTATAAAACCACTTACTTATCTTTTCTCCACAATTTTTACAAAAATAATTATTCCTATTTTTCTCCTTTTTAACATCATAATATTTATATTTTAAATCTTTTTTGGATAGAATATTTTCAACAATTTGTACTTCAATAGGCTTGATTTCAATCACAGTTTTGTTCAATTCTTCAAGGTCTATCATTTCTTCTTTAAATTTTGTTACTTCACTTTGATAATATGTAGTGACTTCACTTTGTTGTACCTGTAGGTCCTCAGAACCATTTTCATCATCGTAATTATTTCCTAAATTGTGAAGTGTTAAATCTTCTTCATTTTTTATGGCTGGTTCTAATTTTTCATTGTTACTAGGTGAAGAGTCCTGTACAACAAAATTAACAGAAACAAGAAAAACTAAATAAATATAATAAATAAATAAATAACGCACACACTCAACATAGCCCCGCACTAGGGAAACCCTTTGTCGCGGGTGCCATGGACACACACATAGACAACCACAAATTACATCCAAACTCACGAGAGAAATAAATGTAAGCCATACAAACATTTCTCCCGGCCCGGGAATCGAACCTGGGACCTCTGCGTGGCAGTCCCGCATGGTAACCGTTCGGCCTTATATAATAAGCAGAGCTAGGAATAGGCAAAGTATGTCTGTCTAAACTTTTTAATTTTTTTTTATTGACCTATTATATGCTACTGCCCTGTCCTTTGCCCACAAAGGTCTCCTTCAAAATTCTCCAGTGCTCCCTGCCTTTGACGATCTATCACCACTTCCCCTCAAAATCTTGAGTTTAGACTTTCGGAACTCGGTCAGCGACCACGTCTGTAGGTTAGGATGAGCAGGATGCACATATCGATGAACTCATCGATACGTGCATCCTGCCCATCCTAACCTAAAAGCGCTTAAATAACATAGGGAGGTTACCCTTCAACACTCCTTCACTTTAAAGAAGTAATATACATAGAATGGATTACAACTCTCTCTCGAAATCGCAGAATTATTGTATTGTATAAAATACTGAGCATCTATGAATTCTGTACGAGCACAATAAGTATTGCAGAGAACAGGCCCTATTGTTTAAGGATAATTTTTTCAGCATTTGAAAGGTTTAAACCTAACGACCACAGACCGAAACTAGCCAAAACATCTAGTGAAATAATATTTGATTTTTACCATTTTTGTATTTATTTCTCAGTTCAGTACTAGCCCCCGTTATGTACATATCCAAAATTTAATGCATGTTTGATGTTTTGACTTAGAGCATTTAGTGATATTCTTGCAATATGCCTAAAAAACCACAGACATATATCTAGATAGACGCCGCAAGTACAGCAATTTGTATGAAAACCAAGCGTGCCACATTTTTTGTACCCACTATGACGTCACAATAGCTATTTAGTGATTGAAACCTCCTTCCGCTCGCTCTAAATGGATTGATTGAACGGAATACGCGTAAACACGCGTATTCCATTCAATTAATCGATTCTAAATATAATAATTTTTGTTGAAGTATTTGTTGATTAACACGCAAAATAGGCTCCTTGACGTCGAGTTGCGGACACCAGCCCGTTACACCAAGTACCAAGTATTTGTTGATTACAAGTAGTCATAATAATAACATAGTAGAAAAATACTAGAATAAGATAGATAAGTCCTTTATTTTACTTGTTTAAAAAAATGTAGATTACTTAAAAAATTAAGACTTTAATTTTTAATCCACTTTAAATATTGAAATTATTGTCCTTCCAATAAAATGAGCTTATAATATAACGTCTTTTTGTAATAGAAAAAAAAATATTTCTTCAGACCTCGCTCTTAATTTGTCAACCGAAATTAAGAGACTAATTTCTAACTGTATTACTCTTAAAACGCCTCAGGAAGATGATATGAAAGGGTGTACAGCCAGAATGAACTAGTGGCTTTCAGAAAATAACATGAAGATGTGTTTTCCATTTTATTTGTTAATACACAAGTTGAAGTAAATATACTCTGGCTATTTTGTTCTCTGATATTAAGAAATGGCTCCTAAAATAATTAATTATATCAGTTGTATAGGTGGACCAGCAGGCTTAGTATGAGCACGAAGACAAAAGTTCTGTCTTCTGCAAACTGTCAAAATCTCGAGATTTTAGAGAGAAAATTGACAGTTCGAAGAAGGAATAACTTTTGTCTTCGGGGTTCATGCTTTGCCTGCAGAATCTGATTGCACTTGGATAAACTTACATCTGCCGTCCACTAACTAAAACGCGGAAGTGACAAATGGTCACTCACATATCCGTTTTCAATAGACAAAAATAGAGCACAAAATTCTCTTTCGAAAACAGTTAAAATTAGTTAACCTGGTCGACTTATCAGAACCTACGCTAACGAACCATAGCTGAAATATCATTAAACAATTTCAATATTCTAAGACTGGGTTATGGTTTTTTTATGACATCTCAAAAAATTATATTGTCACTTAGCTGCGTTGAGCGGCAGAAATAAGTAGTGGGCAATATCAATATATTAATATTCCACTATATCAAGTGGAAAATAATGTACTAGATACTTTACATCGACGCAGCTAATGTTTCTGATTCCAACGGTATATATAACTCAATATAACCCAAAAGTGTCTCTATTCCCATTCTGCCTTTCAAGCGTCGATATATTTAACTGATCTCAATACATACATATATAATTGTCCTCATTTTAATAACTGTGTGAATATATGAGAGAGCTTTCTAAGTAATTTCTAACACTTTTAGTAATGAAACAAAACAATATTCAGCCAATACTAGTATAGGACATAAAAAAAGTTTAATTTAAAATTATGTCTATTAAAATTTTTATTCTGAATTAGACAAATCCAGATATTCAACTTCCATCTCTAGTTCTTCGAATGAATTGGACAATAAAAAGCCACCAGTATTTCTAATAAATCTCACTTCTAGTGCTTCTATTGACTTGCTCCATAAATTTGTTTTCTATTTCTAACACAGGTCAACAGCATTAGCTACAGTCTTCTGATCAAGTTTTCTCACTCCTATTAACCAGTAAAATTTGTAACACAATTCAAATTATGGATGGCGTCTCAGATGTTTAAAATCAGTATTTTAATACACATTACAATGATCCTTGGTGACATTGAAGATGTTTCTTTAATATTATTGCAACAAAGTTCCTTTTCTTTTTGCCTATTGGTAATGCCCTTTTAGGATTTTGAGTTTTCCGCTTAGTAATTATAAGCATACCTTCCATGCTGTTTTGGCATACCTCTAGCTTTTCTCTGTTTTTTCTTGTTAACAACAGTGACAGCAGGGAAAGAAGTAGGATGCACATGAGAAGGAAAGACAAAAATAGCATTAGATAAATTCGACATTGAACAACGGTACACAATGTTAAGAACTACATGAGGAAATTAAAGTGGCGTTGGGCTGGACATATCATGAGACTGCAGAAGCAGGAGAAGACAGAGAAAAAGATGGGAAGATGAGTTTAAATTGGTGGCAGGCCGATTTTGGCAACAACAGGCATGGGACAGGGAAAACTGGAAGTCTGTGGAGGAGGCCTATGTCGAGAGACAAACTGATGATGTGGAGGTAATTTAATTATAGAAAAATGTTGCAGATTTATTTACAATAAATTATTAATCTTGAAATTATTTAAGTACTAAGTTTCATTGGAAATTACGTCTACTATTTTTATTTTTAGTAGCAATCTAAATTCAAGATATTTTTGTATTTTTTAATATTGAATTGTATTTTCTATTAATGAATTATATTGCAACATTTAAATTGTATTCAGCAATAAAGGCTATTATTATTATTAATTATAAACATGGGTATAGTAAAACTAGAATAAAACATACATGGTGATCATCACCAATGTCGAGTCAACAAACCAAAACCTTTACAATAAAATAGTTGCAGCAAGCTATCAATTGACTCAATTGACATGTAACAAGTTAAATTGTCTCTTATTAACTTTTATTTAATGCCATTAGATTCTGGTACACCTATACCTTTATTACAATGCTAACAATCCCTTGTATGAAACATTATAACATCGACAGTAACTTGTGCACATACCTGGTTGACATTTATTTGAAATTTAAGCAAGTTTCCAATGCAGATAAGATTGGCAACAATGATTGCAATGATGATGATTAAAAAACTAATAGATTGCTTAATTTTTATTGAAAACATGGTTTTGAAATAAAAAAACATGTTTGAAGAAATGGTTAAGAAATTGGTACTTACCAAGTTTATGGCGAGTTTTTTCCATAATGCATCATGTTTTCGACTGAGCTTTTTAAATTCTGCATATTGTTTTAATAATGTAGCACATTCACCGCAAAATATTTTCGGAGCTTTGTCACCAATGTTGGGAACCTAGATGTTTCAGAAATTAGCATATTCCATTTCCTTATAACCGAACAAGGATTAATAATTGAGACTCTCAAAACATGAAATTTTAGGTTATGTTTACTTCATTCACAATAACAATATTTTTTTTATTTTTAAATTTAATTAAATGGTACAATAATGTTACTCACTGATATATCGGTGCAAAAATAAAATAATTTTGACCATTCGCTGTCAGCATCGAATTTTACACGGTTTTCGGATTGCCTTTTCAAACAAATGCGGCACGTACCATCATATACAAAATTCGTTGGTGACATTTTTATACAACATACTAATAAGAATTTAAAATCGTCACGAAATTTAATTATTACGGTTTCATTATCGTCTACAAAACAAACAAACCACAAACTACTATATAATACAAGACAAACAAACGACGAGCGAATGAGTTTTTTATTAGTAGAGTTTTAACGGCTTTGGCATAATGCCATACTGCCTATTCGTCATTTTCTTTTCTTCATTTTGGTTTCACTTAGTAAATAATTTCAATCTTCATATGACGTCAACAGTGGAAATAATGTGACTGTAAATAACTTCATAACATTTTACGTTTTTTAGTAGAGATGGCAGGGGGCGGGGAATGTCTTCCTCTTCATAAATCTTCAATAGGCCATCTACTAGCAGTAACCTTTGTACGTTGAAGGCAGGGCATTGCAGAATGAGATGATCCAAATTTGCTGCAGCTGAATCACAGTATTCGCATTGATCAGAGGAAATGATCTTGATTCGTCACATGTGTGCTGGAAACTTGCCGTGTCCAAATATCAATCTGTTCATCGTTGTAATGAATTTTCTAGAGATGATTTACATTTAAAATATCAAGGGTTAGGTGGGATTCTTTTTTGCATTTGAGCATACCAACTTCCTTTAAAATTTTTGGAGCTTTCCAATTCTTCATTCCAATGGCCAAACATTCGGGATTTTAAAACTGCGTTGAAGTCTGTCATGGGAACTGGCGGACTGAGTATTGACGATTGTTTATGTTTGGAACTTCAATCTTCATTAGTTTGTCAATTGTTTCATTGCCAGTTATCCCTGAGTGTGGAGACACCCATATAAATTCAACTTCTATATTTTGATTTTCTAACAATATTTCTCTGATGCTAGTTATGTAAATGTTATTTTTGTAAGAAATATGCATATTCTCCAGACATGTAAGGACACTCAATGAGACGGTTACAATTAAAAACTTTTCTGTATCTCTTATTCCTCTGATGTATTGCAAAGCGGTATATGGCCTCTGCTGTAAATATGGATGCGTACTTATCCAACATAAAACATCTTCCAAACTTTGCTTCAGAATCGTAATGGGCAGCCTTAGTACTTTCTTCTGTTTTTGAACCATCTGTGTATATTTTACGAAAGTCCGGTTTCTCACTATTTACAAAATGCAAAAATTTTGTATTATTAGTCACTTTTTCGACACAAATTTTAGGGATACTGGTTTGAATTTATAATGTACTGAAATCCCATTTTTCTCTATGGTCTATGCTTTTACATATACACTGGAGTTCTTCTAAATGTCCAATTTGTAAAAGAGTATTAGTTTTATACATATTTACATAATTCGTATTAGTTAAAATTTTAACATACAATTTTTCGGTAAGATACTTAAGTCGTACTAAAATAGGAGGGATGCCGGTTTCAATTTCTAACGAGTTAATTGGTGTAGAGCAAATAGCCTCAGTAATAATTCTTAACCCTTTATTTTGCATAACTTGTAATTTATGATACAAATTAGAACTAATATGCTTTCCATAAACTACTAACCCATAGTCATAGTGACTATAGCTTTAAAAATGATGTTCAAAATTTTAGGATCCATTCCCCAAGTTACACTAGCTAAATGTCTCATTATATTTACAGTTTTTTGCATTTTAGCTACAACTTTATGTACATGAGAATGAAAATTTAACTTAGAATCAAAAATTATACCTAAAAACTTACTTTCTTCTTCTGTTTTAATATTTACAGAACTACATACAATGTCTAGAGAGTCATAATAATCATTTTTTATTATTAAATATCTTGACAGAGCTTTTAGAAGGATTTACATCTAATTTAAGTTTATCTTTATAACATATATGTAATTTGTTTAATGCTTCATTTAAAGTAGATTCTGCTTGTATTAAATTTTTGTGAGAAGTATCTTATTTAGCTACAACACAATATCGTCAGCGTACTGAAGGATTGAGAGTCTTGGAACTGTTACATATCTATGTATTTGAGATGTGTACAATAGATAAATCAAAGGTGACAAGGTCGCCGCGTAAACTGCTATTAAACTTAATAAAAACTGTTTGCGAGGAGAAAAAATTAAAAATCCAACTACATACTTTGCCGGGTATATTAAAACTATGTAGTATTTGGACTAAAATCGACAAATCAACGTTATCGAATGCACCGCATACGTCAAGAAAAGCACTAATTAAATAGCTATTATTGCAGAATGATTCCTGTATATCACCACAAAACTTTAAAACACTGTCTATTGTACTATAGCCCTTACGAAACCCGAATTGGTCATAGGGAATAATTAGCCTAGATTCTACGTAAAGCTCCAATCTTGTTTTTAATATATTTTCAAAAATTTTTCTTACACAAGAGGACAAGGAAATCGGTCGTTATGAATCTGCAAATTTGTGGTCTTGTTCTGGTTTTAAAATGAGAACTATTTCTATAAATTTCCAAGAATCAGGTATGAAACCTTTTACCCATAGATCATTAAAGATGTTTAATAAAATTAACTTAGCTGTCGAATCAAGATGTTTTATTAAAATGTATGGAATGTTATCTAATCCTGGGGAAGTATCTTTTTTACTGTTCAAAGATAAGTTGAATTCTGATTTAGAAAAAGGTAAGTTGAGATGCGTATTGAGTTCATTACATTCAAAAAAGTTTCTAAGATGATCTATGTCTACAGGTGGCTGACCAGGAGCTATTTTCTGCAAGAAATCTTGTAAAAATGTAGTGGAGTGTTTCTGTCAAATGTGGAACATAGATTTTTCCAACGTGAGATCTTTTCTTGCTTAATTATAAGTTTTTTAGAAGCTTCTATTTTTTTATACAACAAGTATTTTCTATTGTTGGAAACCTTCTATACATATGGAGAGCTAATTTAGTTTCCTTTTAGTTTTAGAGCAAGCTTCATTCCACCACGGTACAGGTTTATGAAGTTTATGTTTACAACTATTGACACTACGTACAGGAATGTACTTTTCTCTTAAGCTATTTAATAAAGAACAGAATTTATTATAAGCTTGAAAAGGATCTTGTTCATACTGTAAATCATTAAAAATGGTATTAGATTCAGTCGTATAACCTGCCCAATCTGCTTTTTTATATACAAATTTTTGGAAGGGGATAACATTTTCATAAATGTTATGATCAACATTTAATTGTACTATTGTAGGAAAGTGGTAACTACGCAATGTATCCTCAGAGTAAATAGACCATTCTGCAGACGCCGCTAGAGAAGGAGAAATAAAAGAAATATATCTATAGCCGATGCCGATAGATTAGGACGAGAAAGAGTTGTTGTTTGACCGTCATTCGATAAGTACATGTTAAGCTCATCTAACAAATCATATATCTGAATTCCTCTAGGCTTATTAGTAGTGCACCCAAATGCTGTATGATGGGCGTTAAAATCACCCTTCACTAATATTGGAGTTGTAATGGAGTTGATTACATTCTTCAAGATGTTGATAAGAAAGCGACCACTACGAGGAGGACAATACACACCAAGAATTGTTAAGGAATTATTATTAGAAATTTTAATGTTTATAGTGAAAACATAGTGTTTATAGTGAGAACATAAAATATTATCTCTACATAGAATGGCAACACCACCATAACCATTGCCGTTGTCACAGTCTTTTCGAAAAAAATTATAACCTCTGATTCTTAACGAGTCTGTTTGTTTTAACCAAGTTTCATTAAGAACACAAATATCAACATTAAGTGAATTTAATAGCTGAGAAACGAGAGCAGATTTAGGTTTAAGACTTTGGATGTTGTGCTGTATAACTACTAATGACTTACTAACCATTTTGAGAAACTTTTTTAATAAACATTTCTTTTATTGTTGAAGAATTGATAGGTAAGGTGTTTTCTTTATTACAGAATAATATTAGAGTATCAACTATAGCTTTGAGTATCTTATCATTGTTTATCACATCAGATAACAAATTCCTGTCTTTGGTTCTTTCAGATGTTATTGCCTGTACGGGTGTAGGATGTGAAGTGGTTGCTTTGGCATAGGATTTGTTCAGTGCAGGGAAAAAAGAACCCAGAGTACTTCTATTCATTATTTTACTTCTATTTTCATAAATTTTTTGTTGTTTGACTGGACAAATCCTTGCCACAGCAATGTGTTCACCTTTACAATTAATACAAAGAGGTTTGTCAACATTAGTTCATTCTATGTATGAGTGAGACTCCGAACATATTGAACATACAATATTTCGTTTGCAAAACTTAGTTGTATGACCGAAAGCCATGCATTTATAATATTGTAATACAGGTTTTATATATTCTTCAACAGGTAGGTACTACGCATAGACCGTAGTTTACATGCTCGGGCAGTACATTACCTGAAAATGTCACAGACAGTCTGCAGCGGTATAATACCTTCAGGACTCCGTTTAGTAAATCGACGAACTGCCAGTATTTCCTGCGAACTAATAAGTTTGTCAAATAGATGCTTGCAACTGAAGTCTGTTGGCATGTACTTGATAACTCCAGTGCATTCAGAAGTAGAAGCTTTTATTATATATTTTTTTTAAGCTTTTATTTCGTATGATGATAAATATAAAGAATTCGACAAGAGAGAGTTAGCATTCTTTGCATAATCAAAAATTACAGTATACCACAAAGCATTGACTCGTTTTATTTCTTTGACTCCTTTATTGTACCGACTGAAAATATTATTCAAATATACTGGGTATATTTAAATATTTGGGAATAAATTCCCAAATTTTACTGTCATTAGTGCTTTGAATATAATCTGGGAATACTGTGCCTGGAAAATTGTTAGGGTAACTTCGAATGTGGTTTTTCTTAAAGTATGGAGCATACTTTGCATCTTCGTCTTCATCAGAAAAGTCTACTACAGGTCCGGCTGCTTTTGTTTTCTTATTACGAGGTTTTGGCTCCGAACCTCCATTGTCACCATAACGCCCTTTCTAGCACAAAGTGACTATAAATTAAGAGAGAAATCTATT